GGCCCCCTGCCCCTGGCCCCCACATCCCCCCTGCCAGGAATGTGGGGGCCAGGGGCAGGGGGCCAGGGGCAGGGGGCCACAGTCTGGGCTGGGGGTGTCCCTGTGTTTTCCTGGTGGGCACCCCAGCCTGGCTGCCTTCCTGGCTGTGCTGGGGAGAGGCTCATGCCTGGGACACAGCTCTCGACCCAGGGCCACTTCAAAGGGCCCCTCACGGCTGCCTGTTCCGTGGGAAAGCAACTGAGGGCAGGTCCCAGGGGAGCAGAGAGCAGCATGAAAATGCTGCTGGGAAGGAGATGCTGTGGGGAAACAGCACTGGAGGGTGCACAAGGTGGGAAGTAGGGGCTCAGCTTCACCAGTGGCTTCTTCATACCTGAAATCACCCGTCTGTTGCCCTTTCCCCCAGGAAACAGTGGTGTGGGGGTGGCATTGGGCCAAGTAGGAAGGCCAGGGCAGGGAAGGGGCTCAGTGTCCCGCGGGGATCAGTCCAGCTGCGCTCTTGGAAATAGCCTGGATCAACAAACATGAGTCATGCTGGGAGATGCGGGGGTCGGGACAGGGACAGCACAGCTCGTACCCGCTGTGCAAAAGCTGTGGGGGAAGAAAAGGAAAAAGAGAAGGCCCTGGGGCTGCATATCCCAAGGAGGATGTGGATGGATGGAGGAGTGTCAGGGTTGGGACTGTCCTGCTGTCACCCAGAGCCACAGCTTGGCCTCTGCCCCAGGGGTGGGCTGGGTGACAGGGCAGGACAGCAATGAGCAGGATGGGCAGTGCTGCTCCCAGGGCTGTAGTCAAGCCCCAGAGCTGCTCCCCTGCCTTCTCCCGGAGAGTCTCAGGCAGAGATGCTGCCCTGGATGTTCCTCACCCCTGGGCTCATCATGAGCTGTTGCTGGTTCCACACAGCAGCACTGGCTGTGTGACTCCTGGTTGGCATTAACCCTGTTTCATTGTTATTAACTCCATTTTCTAAAGCTGGAATATGATGTGGTCAGGGTAGGGCTGCCCTGTTTGGCTTGACCATGAGGGTCTTGTGTCCCCTGCACTGCAGGGCTCAGCCCTGTTCTGAGCTGCCCCAGTTGTTCCCAGGAGCTGGGCTCTGGCTGCTGGGTGCTGGCAGGGTTGTGTGGTGCTGTGCCAGGATGGCAGACACATGTTGTGGTGGACAAAGCAGGCTGTGAGTGCTTGTGCCCACATTGCAGAGGAGAGAGGCTGGATGTGTCCCCCATGCCCTGGAGGAGACAGGCAGTGGGTGCATGAAGGGGGTCTCAGGACCCCCTTCTTCAGCCCATTTGATGCACGAGGGAATGTGACTGCTGAAGCCTGTGTTGTCATGGGCACGGTGCCTGCTGTACCCTCAGGGAATAGCTGCCTGTCTGTCTGTCCCCTTCCCTGGGCTGGCAGAGGCTCTGGCAGGGGACATTTGCGATGCTGGGGCGCCCCAGACCTGCAGGGAGCCATAGTGACCCCTATGGACCCCAGGGGCTGCTGAGGGATGGACTGGGAGGAATGCAAGTTCCCCAAACCTGTACCTCACCATGTCCCTGCCTGTCAGAAGCATCGGGCAGGAACCCTCCCAGGGCTTCCCTGTCCCCATCACCCCCTGGCAGTGGGGCTGACAAGGGCCAGGGTACACAGAGGGCACATGGGGGTACCCAGCTGTCCCCGGGTGTGAAAACAGACCCCAGAAGCCTTCTCCCGGTGCCCGTCGCTGAGAGCTGGAGAGCCAGCCTGGCTCCTGCGGGGAGCCGGGAATGCTGCAGCCGCCAGCGGCGCTGCCTCGGGGGCCGCGGCTGCCGCCAGCGCTGCGAGGCGGAAAAGGCAGAGGGAAAACGGCACAGGGAGAGCGGCACAGGGATAACGGCACAGGGATAACAGCGGATAGCGGCGGATAACGGCGGATAACGGCGGATAACGGCGGATAACGGCGGGGGCCCGGCAGCCCCCGCAGCGCTCCCGAGCGGCGGCGGGCGGCACGGGACGGCACATTGCCATTGGCAGAGAGCGGGAGGGGCGGGGCCTGGAGCGATGGCGGCGGCGGCGCTGCGGTCCCGGGGCGGCGGAGCGGTGAGAGGGGTGGGGAACCAGTTCCACCAGTGATCCCTCCCAGGGCTCCCGGTGACCCCTCCCGGTGCCACCACTGCCCCCTCCCAGTGTCCCCAGTGACCCCTCGGAGCTCCCAGTGCCACCGGTGCCACCCCACAGGGACACCACTGACCCCTCCCAGTGCTTCCAGTAACTCCTCCCAGTGTCCTCTTGGTGCTCCCAGTGCTCCCAGTCCCCTCCCAGGCCCTACTGGAGCCCCACCCAGGACTCCCAGATCCCCCCGTGGACCTGCCCAGTTACACTCGGGCTCTGCTGGAGTTCACCCCAGTGCTCCCAGTGCCTCCCAGTTCCCATCCCAGTGCTCCCAGTGTCCTCCCAGTTCCTCACAGAGCCCCCCAGCCCCTCCCAGTGCCTGTCCCAGTGCTCCCAGTGCCCATCCCGGTGCTCCCAGTGCCTCCCAATTCCTCACAGTCCTCCCAGTGCCCCACCAGTTCCTCCCAGTCCCCATCCCAGTGCTCCCCAATCCCTCCCAGCGCCCTCCCGGGCCCTCCCAGTGCCCCCGGTCCATTCCCAGTCGCTCCCAGTGCTCCCAGTCCCGCGCGTCTCCCGCGATGGCGCCGGGGGGGGTCAAAGTCCGGCCGGGGGGGGCGGGAGAGGGGCAGGGCCTGGAACCTTCCCCCATTGCCCCGCCTTCCCCCCTGCCGGCAAACTGGGGTAAAACTGGTTAAACTGGGGTAAAACGGGACAAACTGGGGTTAAACTGGGGTAAAATGGGGCCAAACTGGGCTAAAACTGGCCAAACTGGGGTAAAATGGGCCAAAGTGGGGTAAAACTGGTTAAACTGGAGTAAAATGGGCCAAACTGGGGTCAAACTGGGGTAAAATCGGGCCAAACTGGGGTAAAACCGGTCAAACTTGGGTAAAATGGGGTCAAACTGGGGTAAAATGGGGCCAAACTGGGGTAAAATGGGGTCAAACTGGAGTAAAATGGGGCCAAATTGGGGTAAAATGGACCAAACTGGGGTAAAATCGGGCCAAACTGGGATAAAACTGGTTAAACTGGGGTAAAATGGGGCCAAACTGGGGTAAAATGGGGTCAAACTGGGGTAAAATGGGGCCAAATTGGGGTAAAATGGGCCTTCGTGTCCCCCCAGGTCCTGGCGACGCTGCTGCGGCCCCGGCGTGGCTACAACAGCACCTTCCGGGTGAGCGGGGGGCCGGGACCCCCAAAAGCGCCCCGAAACCCCCCAGATAGAGCCCCCAAATCCCGCCGGGCCCCCCCAAATGACGCCAAGCCCTCGCCAGGCCTCGGAGCTGGAGCTGGAGCGCTCGGGGGCCCCCGGCACCCCCCCAGCCCCCCAGGACCTGGTGTTCGGGAAGGTTTTCACCGACCACATGCTGATGGTGGAGTGGAGCCGGGACCGGGGCTGGGGGCGCCCCAAAATCCGCCCCTTCCAGGAGCTGCGGCTGCACCCGGCCTCGTCCGCCCTGCACTACGCCGTGGAGGTCAGGGGAGCCAAAAACACCCCGAAAACGCCCCAAAAATCACCCTAAAGTTACCCCAAATCACCCCAAACATGCCCCTATGCCGTGGAGGTCAGAGGAGCCAAAACCGCCTCAGAATAGCCCCAAAAATCACCCTAAACTTGGGACCACGCCATGGAAATCAGGGGAACAAAAAACACCCTGGGATCACCACAAAAATCACCCCAAATAACCCCAACCCTGCACTATGCCACGGAGGTCAGGGGAGCAAAAAACACTCTGAAAACATCCTAGAATCACTCCAAAAATCACTCCAAATTACCCCAAACCCTGCACCATGCCATGGAGGCCAGCGGGACCCCAAAAACATCCCTGGGAGCCCCAAAATCACCCTAAAACCCCCTTGAGACCCCCTCAAATCACTCCAGGACTCCTGGGACCCTCTGAAAACCCCCTGGTAGCCCCCTAATGCACCCCAAATCCCTCCTAGACCTCCCGGGACCCCTCAAAATCCTCCCCAAACCCCCGGGACTCCCCTCTCCACAGCTCTTTGAGGGTCTCAAGGCTTTTCGGGGTGATGACGACAAAATTCGGCTTTTCCGCCCCGACCTGAACATGGAGAGGATGCAGAGATCAGCCCGCAGGGTCTGCCTGCCCGTGAGTGGGGTGTCCCCCCGAAAAATCCCCAAATAACCCCAAAACCCCCTCAAAATTACCGCCAAAATGATCCCAAAATAACCCCAAGCCCACCCCAAATAACTCCCAAAATAACCCCCAAAATTACCCCAAAATTACCCCTTAACTCCCCCAGAATAACCCCAAAAATCTTCCCCTGGGGGGTCTCCCTGCCCGTTGAGTGGGATGTCTCCTCCCCAAAAAAATCCCAAAATAACCCCAAAACACCCTCAAAAAACCCTCAAAAAACCCTGAGATGCCCTAAATCCCCCACCAAATAACCCTAAAACCACTTTAACACCCCTGATACTCCCCCAAAATCCTCCAAAATAAAAGACCCCATCCCAGTCCCTCCCGCTGCCAATTTTTTCCCAAAAAGTGCTGGTTTTCGCCTGAAAAGTGCGGGGTTTTTTCCTCCCAACCCCTCCCGGTGCCCCCGCCCAACTCCCTCCCAGCGCTCCCAGGGCTCCCAGTGCTCCCAGTCCCCGTTCCCGCAGGAATTCGACGGGCGGGAGCTGCTGGAGTGCATCCGGGCGCTGGTGCGGCTCGAGGGGCGCTGGGTGCCCCGGGACCCCCAGAGCAGCCTCTACATCCGACCCACCTTCATCGGCACCGAGGTGGGCGGGGGGCTGCGGGTCCTGGGGCGGTTTGGG